CATTCGCGCTCGGCGTCCTGGGGGACCTTGCCCACCAGGCTGGGCTGGCAACGGCGCTGTGGGCTGCCCGCCCGCCGCCGCGCCCCGCGCGCCCAGGCTGCCCGGCGCGCCCGCCCTGCCCAGGCGCTCCCGACCCGGCGCCCGACTGGCGGCTGGGCGCGGAGCCCGAGGCCAGAGGTCTGGGCTGGAGCGGGCTGCCCCTGACGGCGGCCGCGGGCGTGGCCGCCGGCTGGCGGCCGGCTCGTCGAACAGCGGCCGTGAGCCCGCAGGGCGCGCCGACGGCGGGCGATGGCGGCGCCGCCGGAGTGGGCGCGGACGGTGTTCAACGACCCAACCGCCCCGCTGTTCTACCACCAAAGGCTGTGCCACGGGGTGGCGGCGTCCTTGGCGACTGAAGAGGCGGCGGTGACGTCGCCCGACGGCGACACCTACATCGAGGACTGCCGCCCCGAGACGGGCGACGTGCTGCTGCTCAGGCAGGCGCCGGAGAGTTGGCCGCCGCCGGCCGGCATCCCGCGGGCCGCGGGCTACCGCTTCCGGGCGGAGCCGACGCAGGCCCAGCGCGTGGCGTGGGCTGGCGAGGCGGAAGCCGCGGCCCGGGCCTACCAGGCGGCGGTGGCGGTGGCGCGCGGCGCGCCGGTGCTGCCGCTCGGGCAGCCGGCGCTCCTGCCGACGCCGGCGGCGGGAGGCGGGGCGGTCGTGGCAGGCGCGGCGCCAGCGGCGGGGCCGATCGTGGCGGCGGCACCTGTGGCTGCAGTCGCTGGCGCGGCCGCTGGGGCCATCGCGGCGGCGGCGCCCGCTGCCGCGCCCGCCGCGGCGGCCGGCGGGGCTGGCAGCACGTGGGTCAGTGCAGAGACCCGCCCGGGCGCCGTCAAGCGGGGCGACCCAGTGACGTTCAACGGCACCGAGCTGCTGCGAGGCAAGCGGGGTCTTGTGGAGCTCTTGCCAGGCGGGGGCACGTGGATCGGCATCGCGTTCGTGCCGAACGGGAAGCTCCAGGAGTTCAAGGGCATGGAAGCGGACGGCGACGCCCGGCTGCCCTCGATCGGGGCAGCGGGCCAGGGCCGGACTCGCCGGCTCTGGCGGGAGGGTGGAGGCCTTCCCCGACTTCCCCGTGCCGGGGACGCGGACGACGAAATGGTGCTGCGAGTTCCTCAACTTGAATCGTCGGGGGGCTTGCTATGCAGGATCGTGTGGTTATAACCACTTCACAGGGGGCTTAGGTGGGTTAGCTAACCTGGTTGTTATCCTAGGATAGCGGCTTGAACTTAAGCAGTTCGCAAGTAGGTTACCCTAACCTGGCTAACCTACTTAGCCCTACAGGGCTAACCTACTTAGCGTGGGTTCGCTAACCTGGTTAGCCAGGCTCTGTTGTGCTCAGTTTTGCGCTGCCGAAGGCATCGCCCCGAAGAAAAAAGTGGACGCGAGAAGCGAAAAAGAGGAGGAGGAGGAGGGGCTGGAAGAAGAAGAGGAGGAGGAGGAGGAGGAGGAAGGAGAAAGAAGGAAGGAGGAGGAGGGAGGAGGAGGAGTTTGGGGGGGAGGAGGGAGGACGGAGGACGGAGTAGGAAAAGGGGGAATCCGCCACCTTCACGACAGAAATTGGGGACACAGGGCCTCGGGCCTGCGGTGCAGCGCAGAGGAGGAATGAGGGAGGAGTGCTGTAGAGAGTTCCGTGGGCGGCGGCCTCGGGCATTCATTGAATCGTTTTTTTTCTTTTTTGGGCGATCGCACGGGCTGAGCAGCAAACCCACATGCATACCTTCAGTCTGGCAATGCCTCACGTGCACATTGCGCGCACGATACAGTGTGAAACATGCAGTTCGTGGAGATGGGGGATGTTGGGAAATTGTGATGATGATGATGGTGGTGTTTCTCTTGGTGACGGTGATGATGACGATGATGATGAGGAGGAGGAGGCTTGGACGCTGGAGGCGCGTGCGGGTTCACCCCCGCTGCAAACAGAAGCTATCATTTACCTTGTGGAAAAATTTCGGAGACAGAAGGACCTGAGACACCTTGCCAACATCGCACGGCCAAAAAATCATTGACTCGATTACCGTAGAGATGTGCACGAGCTTTGGTGCAACCTCGTGCCTGCATAGGGCAACCCTGTCGTCTAATAGACGCTCCACTGGCCATACAGATATGCATGCGAAAACAGAGTCGCAACACTTTGCGAAAAAAATTAGTTTGCCGAAGCAGATGGCGTGCCCATCATCAAAGGATACTAAGTCTCCCACCTGCACTGCTCTGGCCCGTATGCTGCAACACTTGGATGTCACCACCTCCTGTCCCCAAAAGCGTGGGAACATATCCCATATGACGTCTCTCATTTTTTTGCTTGCCTGACGAGGGTGCATCAACTCTGGCCGCAGAAATTCAGACCGAATGTCATATAGCGCTTGGCATGTGACCTCCTCCATAAGGCCTTTGTCGAAGTTCTTGGTATTGTGCCTTGCGTCGGCATATCTCTTGACGAATCTATGTTTCCTTTCGTGTAGGAAGGTGCCCATCAGGCACTGGTGCCTGATGAACTGGGCGGGCAAATGAAGTGCCCAGTGGTGCTTAGGTCTCCAGATGGAGTCGCCCCAAGCTGTTTTATGGGCCTCGAGGTGCCCAATCACGGCGTCGCCCAACTCTGTGCCCGTAACCAGGCCCGAGTTAGCCATTGAGACCAATGCGACCGCGCGACATAAAGCTACACCACTCTCCACAACCATTCTGCAAACACTCGGATGTTTAGAGACGACGTCCAGCAGGTACTTTTCAAGTATGGGCGCCACGGTGAGCTGTTCGCTCGCGCAGCCACCAACACCGTTGTCTTTGTGCTTGCGACAGACCTCTTTGGCACTTCCATACGCCAGGGGGCTTTGCCAGTGCTGCAAGTATTCGTCAAGCGTTTTTCCTCCTAATTTGTGTGGTGCCAAATACGCCATCAATGCTTTAAATTCAACTGTGAAGACTCCGTCGCAAAGATAAAGGTGCATGAAATCCCATGCTACAACTGCAGGCACATCAATATTCAAGAACGGATCCTGGAGCATGCCAGTTTCGACGTAGTTGAAACCAATATTGCTTTGGAGATCCTTCAGTGCACCTGGTGAGACCAACGACCTTTGCCGAAGAAGCGCTTGGATACCTCGTATCGAGCTTGCAGTCTGCAGCTCAAACTTTGTCACATCCGTCTCTGTCATAGGCACCATATATCCACCAACGCCAGTAGGACACCTAGTTGAGCTAGTATTGATCACGTTCTTGCAAAGCATGCATACTTTGTGGCCTCCCGATCCTTTGCACTCAAGGCTAAACTTGTGCGCTCTCTCATCGGCTAACATAATCGAAAGGCCCCCACGTACAAGGCGAGCTGCCGACTCGCCCTCCAGTTTCAACATGATGCCATCTCGAAGGTCTGCCTTGGAAGGCCTTCCAAAAAATAACTTCAAGACGTGCCGCATCACTTCCGAAAGATTCCCTGGGAACTCCTTCTCTCGAGTGCTGCGCAAGGTACAAGCCGTGAACCACAAAGTTTCGCAACACAAGGCTGGGAAGTTGAATTCTCTGACGCTCCAGTAGAGGGCAACGCACCCACATTGGCGAAGGAGCACCCTGTGGAGGGAGAGGGGGAAAGAAGGAATGACGGGGAGGACGTGCTCTGGATCAAGAGCTCAGGAGGAGGAGGAGGCCATTGACGAAGAGGGAGGGGGTGATACGGGAAATGAGGAGGGGACCCCATGGTCCTACATCGCCAGTGTGGGTGCGTTGTAAATGGCTTGCAGCTTTCTTTTATTTGCCTCTTTTATAGGATTACCAGGAGTTATTTCGTCGTTGTATATGCAAATAGATAGCTGGTTCGAGCTCTTATCCAAGGCTTCTCTCAGGAAGCGATTGAATGGAATGGATTCCCGTGCAGCCACCTGCAGAAATGCAAATGGGTGTTGAACCCACAGATCCAATGAGGACTCTCCGCAAGGAACAGATATAGCTTGTACCAGTGGCCCAAAATCTGTCATTTGCGACGCCGTGCGAATCCTGTCCCTCGCGATGGAGCTCGGAGAGAAGGCGTCTGGTAAGCCCTCAGCCTCGACGGTGTTTAAAAGCTTTGACATTGCTGAAGCAGAAACGTAAGCATCTTTCCCCCAGTCGGCAAGTTTCTGTCGCTTAGACATTGGTGTGTCTTGAAATCTGTAAGGAAGTAATATGTATGGACGTCATATCACAACGAGTGGCGAAGCTCAAAGCCTTCAGCCAAAACGGCTGCGGGAAGGAGGGGGGGAGGAGCCTGGAGGGGAGGAGGCCGACAGTGTTAGAATGTCAGTCTGGTTGTTCCCCGCGGCGACGGGTTCAACGGAGCCAGCAACATCTATAGCATGTCCTTTGCACTCGGGATTGCGTCACGGTGACCATGGGCCGTCTGAGTACGAGCATGTTTGAGTCTGAGTGTGAGTGAGTCTGCGTGTGAGAGTCTGAGTCTGACCGAGTGAGTCGGGTATCAGCGAATCTGAGTGTGAGTCGGTCTGCGTGCGAGTGAATATGTGTGCAAGCGAGTCTGAGGCGGAGTAAATGTGAGTGTGAGTGGTCCGACTATGAGCGAGTCCGTGCGAGCTGTGAGTAGTTCTGACTGTGGGCGAGTCTGTGTATGAGTGGTCTGAGCGTAAGTGAGTCTGTGTGAAAGAATATGCGTGTGTGTAGTCGGAAATACGCGAGACTGAGGGTATGAGGGTGGTGGTGCTTGTGATGATGGTATGATGATGGGGATGGTGATGGCGATGATTCGTTTTTTTGTCCTACGCTACTTGTAACTGCTGCACTACTGTGGCCCAACAGAGTTAGCAAGGTTCAGTGTTGTCCCTTGCGCCCACTAGCAAGGATCAGTGTTGTCTCTTGCGCCCGCCAGCTTATACGAGGAGTGAGCCAGGTACTGACAGACGCAGGTCTATGCCTGTCCTCGAGCGCGGCGCGCTTCAAAGCGCACGACGCCCATGGTCTAGATTTGCAACGCTCGAGTGTACGACGCACTGTGTCTACCCACAGCTGAACCAACGTGCATGCAGGTAAGGCCTCGAGCTCCCTGGAGACCTGGAGACCATCATCGGACACAAATGCCAGCAACGAATTCTCATACTGGGGTGTGCCCCTCATCACTTCTTGTGCCCATGCTTTGTGTATACCTCGCCCGCCTTGCCCAGTGCGATGCGGGCCACCGTGATAGCTTCCTCATCGCTCCAACCCATACTCCTCGCAGCTGCCTGGGCGCCCTTGTACGCGCGGCACGTGAAAGCATTGCGCGAGCGCCCCAAGATGTCCTTGGGGTTGAGCCACTGCTTGTAATCGAAGGTCTTGAGCTTGCCTGCGGGTGTGGACCCCCTGCCCCCGACGCCGTTCGTCCCCCTCACACCCAGAGAAGGAGCAGTAGGGGGGTTGAGAAGAAGGGGAAAGGGGGCCCTCATCCTTGATTCCGTCGTCCATCCTTCATTCCTCCCCGTTCCAATCCTTCTCCTAGGGGCTAGAGGGGGAGTGATCGGCGTCGGGGGCGGGGGGGTCCACTGCCTGGGGTGCGCGTGGCATCGACCTTGACCTTGGCCTTCGGCGTGGAGTCCTTGGGCGAGGCAGGGGACTTGGGCTTGGCCTTGGGCTTGGCCTTGCCCTTGGCCTTGCCCTTGGCCTTGCCCTTGGCCTTGCCCTTGGCCTTGCCCTTCGAAGTGGCAGCGTCGATGAACTGTTGCTCGAGGGCCTCTGCCTCGTCGAGGTCCGTCTTGGACGCGAGGGCTGGGGCGGCTGTCGCTGCCGTGGTTGGGGCTGCGACACCAGCAGGGGCGAGGATACCACCAGCAACCACGCTTGGAGCCGCTCCAGAGGCCGCCTCGGAGTCCACGTCGGACAGCTTGGCGATGTCGTCAGCACCACCATGACCCATGAGCGGCAGCGTGGTAGCCGACAACGAGCGTTTGCTGGCCAGCCTCCTCGACGCGGGCTCGCAGAACTGAATCAAGCCCGCCTGCGATTGGCCCTGGTCGCCTCCTGGAGGCCCCAGGCCGCCTCCTGGGAACCCACGGCCCATGGCAGCACTCATGATTCCACCCAGCATAGCCATGGCTTGGTTCGGGTCAACGAACATGCTCTGCAGCGATTGGGGGGGCCTCGGTGGAGAGGGGTTGCCGAAGGGGACGATCGCAGAGTTCTGGTCAGGCCTCAGCTCCTTGTGGGTCTTCCTGATGGGCACGTGCCTGACCACATTATCAAAGTCGGCATGGTTCCAATCAGGCGGGGCGATCGGGCCAGCCGTCGACTGGAAGGCGAACTCGTAGACTCCAGGGGGGAGCGCAGTCGGATCCATAGGGTAGGTCGGAATGTGGTGGAACGGCCAGCCCGTGCTCGCATTGTCGATACCCTTGATGATCCGCTTCAGGGTCTGGGCCATCGCCACCATCTCGGTAGGATGCACTGGGCCTTTACCCCCCTTGTAACACACTATCGCAATGCTTCGCTTGAGGCATGATTCCGAAGGGCATGTGATACCGAGTTTCCACATCCGTTCCCCGACGATCTTCAACTTCGGGTCCCAAGAGAAGTCTGGATTCTCGATCGTCTGCCAATCGTCGATGGTGAAGAAGTGTTCGAGTGCAGGGACATTCTGCACTGCTCGATTCCGTCCTGCCGTCGGTGCTCCATGAGCCACTTGATTCGAGAGGGCAAGAGCGATCCGACTCTTCTGGGTTGGCGTCCACGGTCCACCCGTGACCTCTTGGGTCACTAAGGTCGCGGCGGGTATGTCGAGGCCAACCGTGTTTTGGATGTCCGAGATCACTGCAGTCGCTTGCCCGTCCATCATCCCAGCGAGCTGAACACCCGCAGCGAGCTGAGAATTAATGAAACCGACTCTCTGCCTCAACATGTTGATAAGCGCATCAGCAGGACGTTGGGGCGCAGCCATCGTGCCTGACGTACAGTGCAAGCCCTCACAGTGTATACAAAGCACGGCGACGTTCAGACGGGGATTTGGGCCAAAATGGCTAAGGCGGAGGCCCGACCTGATTTATCCTGATTTGGTTTGGGGGCGGGGGCGGCCTGAGAACGAAGATTTATGGCAGGATGTGGGCTGTGTTTCGTGCTCGTATAGGAGGGTGATGAGTTCAGGAGGGTGGTGAGTGAACAGGAGGGATAGAAGGAGGATGATGACCAGGAGGATGATGAGGATACCGATGACGAGGACGAGGAGGATGACGATGATGCTGAAGGGCGAGCCAGATCTTCACTTATGGAGTCGGCCGTCACAGTCAGACGGGACATACCATTAGAAGCACAAGATGTTCGAACTATCCAGCGGCTAGTTCGAGCAATTGCTCGAACTATCCAGCGTCATGTTCGAGCAATTGCTCGAACATGACGCTGGCTAGTTCGAACCAACCTCCGTGTGTTCACTCCATCTGATCATGATGGAGTGGTGAGTTCGAACATGACGCTGGCTAGTTCGAGCAATTGCTCGAACATGACGCTGGCTAGTTCGAGCAATTGCTCGAACTAGCCGCTGGCTAGTTCGAACATCTCATGCTTCGCTGATGGGTTGGCGCTATGACGTCAAACTTGTACCTGCTTGGGACATGATTGGTGATGGTGGTGTTGACTAAGATGATGTTTTTTTCACGAGGTCGCCCCCTCGACCTTACCATCAACTAGCTGTGTGTAGGATGCCTGCACCCACATCAGGGCGCATACTGAACGGTACCGTGCGATGAAATGGTACGAGTTTAGTATGTACCGTCGCACGACACCGACTGCGCGTAGTGGCTTGACGCCCATCGTCTGCCATAGCCCCAGCCAGTGTCCCTACTGGTCGGGTTCGTGGTGGTGCTCCGAGCGAAAAAAAGCTAGGGAATTGGCGGCGCGGGTCACACGCTCCTGCATATCTGGCCCAGCGCGCACCTTCATCGATTTCGTGCACCACCTGCCGAAGGTCTCGCTGTAGTAGGTCGTCTGGACGGAGCTGCGGCTGGTCAACCACACGACGTGCTCGATGCCGTCAAGGTCAGGAATGAATTCGTCATGCGAAGTGTCGTCTGGCTGCTTGGTGAGCAGGTTGATGTTCTCCTTGGTGAGCTCCATCCGCAGCTTGCGACGCGGGTTCGCCTCGGGCACCACACGAATGGAACAACGAGCACCTCCGTCGTAGACGACGTCGAGAGTGATCAGGTTCGGGATGTCGTCGATGCAGTCCTTTCTCGGCCTCTTGGGAACCCGATGCTCTGCAGCACCACCGTCGTCTGAATCTCCATCGTCGGCCAGGGGGTCGTTGGCAACGTCGGCCTGGTGCATGAGAAGGTCCGCAGCCTTGTTCCGAAGCTTCACCAGGTAGTCATGCATCGCGAAGTGACCCTTGAGCATGGAGCAGAACTTCTTGTCCTGCTTGTTGCACTTGACAACTTCGACTCCGTCGACGGTCTCCGTCTTCACCATCCAGGAGTTGAAAGGCGTCTGGCGCTCGTTCGCATCAACAATGCAGACCGCGGTATACCCACGGTCGAGTTTGATAGACATTGAACCAACGCCAACGCGAGTGCTAGTGACCACTGATCTGAGCCAACACGGCTAAGGAACTGCGATGGTAATGGTGCGTGGCGATGGCTAATGCGTTTGGGTTGTGGATGGTATGGCGATGGCGACTGTTCTGTGCAGGCGAATGCGTTGTGATGCTATGCGTAGGATTGTCGCTCGCTCTCTCTCTCTCTATCCCTTTAGCGTGCATAGGAACTCTGAGTGCATGTGTGCGTGTGTGTGCGTGCGTGCGTGCGTGAGTGTATGCGTGCGTGCGTGTGTGTACACTGCTACACCATGCGTACTCCATTGATGCTGTGTTATACAGGTGTTGCTAGAATCAGAAGATGATCACAATGTGACTTTAGCTCTTGCTTGGGGTGCGGGGGGCTATCTGATTTGGGCAGTACTAGGGCATCAACCTGCTGGGGCTGTTGGGGGTGGGCTGACTCCAAAGATCAGTTGCAGGCAATCCCTCTCGTGGTTTGGTCAGAGAGGACGCCCCCAGAGACAGCAGAAGAGCGCCTTCGCTCGCTCTCTCTCTCTCTATCCCTTTAGCGTGCATAGGAACTCTGAGTGCATGTGTGCGTGTGTGTGCGTGCGTGCGTGCGTGAGTGTATGCGTGCGTGCGTGTGTGTACACTGCTACACCATGCGTACTCCATTGATGCTGTGTTATACAGGTGTTGCTAGAATCAGAAGATGATCACAATGTGACTTTAGCTCTTGCTTGGGGTGCGGGGGGCTATCTGATTTGGGCAGTACTAGGGCATCAACCTGCTGGGGCTGTTGGGGGTGGGCTGACTCCTAAGATCAGTTGCAGGCAATCCCTCTCGTGGTTTGGTCAGAGAGGACGCCCCCAGAGACAGCAGAAGAGCGCCTTCTGGCCCTCCCCCAGCAGCGGCCTCGGCCCATCGGGCCTCACCTCCCTGGTCGCCCCGAGCAGCTCAGGACGACGACGCGGAGAGTACCATATTGGAGACTGGAGAAGGAAGGGGGAGGAGGAGGATGATGAGGATGGGGAGGATGAGGAGGAGGAGGAGGAGGAGGAGGAGGAGGAGGAGGAGGAGGAGGAGACCGAGGAGGGGCATGATAAGTTGGGGGAGAACTGATGCTATAAGGAGGGCGGGAGGGACAGCAGCAGCAGAAGTAACTGGAAGGATGCGGTACTTGAGGACGGTTTAGACAGCCCAAGTAACCCGTATACGATTTGGGGTTCTCGTAAAACCGTTTGGGGAGGACGGTGGTGTTGAAGACCGATTTTTATGGCTTGTTTTGTCGTTTGTTTTTCTCTCTCTGCAGCGGACGCGTATTCCACTTCTTCCTCCTCTTCCTCTCCTCCTCCTCTTCCTCCTCCTTCCATCCTCCTCCTCCTCCTCCTCCTCCTCCTCCTCCTCCTCCTCCTCCTCCCTGCTTGCGCGAGTCCGTACAGGACACCGCTGCGTTGGATTCGCACTCGCATCTGACAAGCGAACGGGTCTGGAAACAATGGCTGCACCGCCTTCGCGATGACAGCCAAGGGAGATACGCAAGATCGCCACGGCCAGCCACGACCAACATCAAACATGAATATCATTGAGGGCGTGAGAGATAGGATTTATTATCTGAGGAGGTGAAGGGACTGCTGTCTACGGGCGCCCCCTCCCGCGGGCGCGACCCCTGCCCTTCGCAGCACCACGGCCCGCGGGGCCCTTAGAGGCTTTCGGGGCGGGCGCTTCAGCCTCGCTGCAACTCGCCGTCTCGGCGCGGCGCTTCATAGGGCCCGAGGGGAGCTCAGGGGGGCGCAAAATCTCACAGTCTTTCTCAATTGCCTTCACATTTGTGAGGGTCGGGATCTGGATCTCGATAGAAGTGCTGGACCTTCTCGGCCCAGCAGGCCCGCGACTGCACTGGACGACCACTGGAAAGCTACTCCAAACAACGTTTGCAATTGATGAGTCCTTGGCTGGCTGCGCGGCAAAGAAAGGGCACAGAAACGGGTCCTTACTCTTGGCTCCCCCGTTGGTCGCAGCTGGGAGGTCGAGCTTTGGCACAATCCACATTTTGCAGGGGAGCCCTTCGAAGGAAGACCTCAAGTCCACTTCTACTGCGCCAGTCGGCACCTTTTCGCCGACGCCAATCACGGGGGAGAGAGGCACCAGCACAAGGCCACCAGGCTTAAATCGCGAGGTAGCGAACAAACCTTCACACACAGTTTTCGGTGACAACGAATACTGAACCTCTAGATTCACATCATGACAGTTCTCGAAGGCAGCATAAAGGGCGGCCTTGACAGCCGAGCGGGCCTTGTCAATCATGATGTCCTTGTGCTCCTATGCGCGGACGGGCCCCTTTCCTCCCCTTCATCATTCCTCTGTCTCCTCCCTCCTCCTCCTCCCTCCTCCTCCTCCTCCTCCTCCTCCTCCTCCTCCTCCTCCCTCCCTCCTACCTCCTCCCTACCCTTCTCATCCTTCCTCCCTCCTCCTCCTCCCTCCTCTTCCTTCGCTTCTCCGCTCCCTCCTGATAGCCCCTCCTCCCTCCTGTTACTCCGTCTTACCTCTTCAAGTCCTCCTCATCCTCCTCATCCTCCTCCTCCTCCTCTGCTTCCTCCTCCTCCTCCTCCTCCTCCTCTGCCCCCCTGTGGGCAATGCTGTCGGCTCCATCGGGCCGTGCTCCGACAGCGAAGCCACCAGCTTGTCGTTGGGGACGAACACCTGGCGGTGGAAAGGACGGGGGGGAGAATGGATGTTGGGAGGAGGCCATCCCGGATGCTGGTTTCGTTGGTTGGCAAGTTGTTTTTGATCCCGAAGGTTTGCTGTTCGATTTGGGGAACGCAACTTACTCAAACCAATGTGTTGTATGGGGGTAAGTTGTCAATATCTCTATCATTTATGGTTTCGCCCTTCCTCTCTAGGTGTACTACTTCGTTCTATGCCATCGCCACCCTATCTCTCTCTCTATATATATATGTTGTGCATTTTCCACTATATAGTTGCGTACACATGCGAAGCATATTTGGCATCCATATATACACAATTGTACATGTAGGTGTGTGTACAGCAAACCACACTGTGCACCCTACATACCACATATATGTGCGTACACATACAATACCCCATCTACCAAATATCCACATATACATATATATATACATATATATACAGATACATACAAGCCCACAGATGTGTACATATGTATCACATGGTGGAGCCAACCCTATCCCCACTATGTATGTGTACCGATAGGTGACAATGGTAGCGGATGCGCCTTGAAGCCGTCGGCCATGGCGTCGAAGGCCACCTCGATGGTCTCGGAGTCCGTC